GAAAGCCATAAAGATTGTATTGATTGATTGTTCGTCTCTCTTTACAATAATCAGGGTCTAATATTTATACCCAGAATCTAAACATAAATCCTACTCAAATACGACTCATTACAATTCTTGGAATAAAAAAAACTTCCTAACTTAATAATAACTTGGGACAATTGTCTGTTGGAATCCAAAGTGATGGTCCTTTGCTGACGGACATTCACTTTGGAGCATTTTGCCAGAAGACACTCTAGTTCAGTGAAATTAGGCCATAGGACAACGCGAACCGGTTGCAGCCGGTTGAGGAGAGAGAACAGCAGTGAAATAACATTCTTGCCCCTACCACTTTCCTCTTCCTCTCTCCCTTTTCTCTTTTTTCTGTTTCCTGCACCGCGCCACCGAAGACACGGTCCACGAGGATGGCGACCGAACAAGCTCCTCACCTATGGATCTGCATACAAGCACCACGGTAGTTGAGCAGGGCATAATGCCATCACTGGTTGCCTAAAGCAACCAAACTTTAACCCAAAAGTACCAAATAACATACTCGTCTAGTTTCGACAACGCCTGACAACACGAAGGCGACACTGATGCCATTGCCGTACAAATGTCGGAGACGAGCTTGCCAGCCCCGAAGTGCTGAGCACTGACATACGGTCCTGAAGATGTGCGAACCAAATGAGGCCACCCCCAGCAGGGGTCGCCGCTGGCAGCAGACACGACCACCGTCGCGCAGACTGTGTGGGAGCCATGAGCCCCACCAAGAATACGGACGCACTGTAGCCCCTGACTGTCGTGGACGTGGACGAGCAGGCCTTACAGCCTGCCGTCGTAGGCACGGTCGAGCAGGCCTTACAGGTCGCCGTTGCAGCCACCGCAGTCATCGACGGGCGCGCAGAGCTGAGCCGCTTGGCCACAAAGGGCACAAACGAGCAGGCCTGACGGGCCGTCGTCCGTGCTGCCTGGCCACCGTAGGCACGGACGAGCAGGTCAATAGGCCGCCGCCGAAGCCACCCCGGCCGCCGATGGGTGCGCGAGCGCGAGGTGAGCTAGCCCTATAGGCCAGCCGTCACCGTGATCGCCCAGCTACCACCGCAGTGGGTGAGAACGCCTAGCCGTTGCAGCTGCGATGCGAGAGGGGCACAAGTGCAGGCATGCGTCTGCCCCACGGGCATGAGCACGCGTGCGGGCGCCTCCGGCCCCGCCGCCGTCGCTGCCGACCCCTGCCGTGGGTGCGCACAAGCCCAGCCGGCCACCGCCGCCCCGGGAAAGCAGATCTGGCCGGCCACGAGCCAGACACGAGCGTGGTCCGACCGACCACCAGCCAGGTGCCACCACAGCCCTAGGCGCGCGGGAACGACCCTCTCAGGCCACCACCAGGCGCGGGTGCAGGTGAGCTTGAGCCGTCGTGCAGCCGGCCGCCGGTCGCCCACCGTCGGTGATTAGCGCTAGAGACCCGAGCCCACCTGGCTGGCCGCCTGCCTCTCCCTACTCCTTTCCCTTCTGCGTTTCCTAAAGAAGATAAACAGAGAGAGGGGGGAAAGGATAGGGATGTGCCTAGTCAAACCATGTGCATGCGGTGCAAGCGACTCATCTTTTGAGCCTGCACTCTCGTACATACTGAGAGAAAGAGTTGTTTATCTCACCACAAGGATGGCGGTGTGTGCGTGCGGGTGGAGCCAACGTCCATGTGCTCCAGAGCGCGCCCTGCTCGGTCGCCATCCTCGTGGACCGCGTCCTCGGTGGCGCGGCGCTAGGAAAAAAAGAGAAAGGGAGAGAGGAAGAAGAAAGCGGCAGGGGCAAGAATGTCATTTCACCATTGTTCTCTCTCCTCAACCGGCTGCAACCGATCCGCGGTGTCCTGTAGACTAATTTCACCAAACCAGAGTGTCTTCTGGTAAAATGCTCCAAAGTGAGTGTCTGCCAGCAAAGGACCATCACTTTGAATGTCCAACAGACAATTATCCCTAATAACTTGGATCCTAATTTTTCTTATTCGTAGAGTCCAACATATCTCCCTGGCGCCACTCAAGTATAGCCCATTGACGCCGTCTGCTGACATCATCCATAAAATAGTCGATTCTGACATTATATCTAAATCAGCTGATACCGATTCTCATCTAATCGATTCCTTGAAGACACAATCCTGGAAGCTTCAAGTTCTCACGTTCTTCTTCCCAAATTTTGGTGTAAACAGTTACATTGAAAATTCGATGTACCAAAAAAGTCAATGCTACTTATAAATATAGAACGGAAGGAGTACGTCGTCAATAAGGGCAGCTCCAACAATTGACTCTTAAACTAGCCCTAAGCATTTTTTTATATTTTAATAGAAAAGAGAGAAAAGCTAGCTCTCGATCAAGAGCTAAGCTCTTGCACACATTTCAAGGTTATGTGAGAGTGTCATGTGGGGATGTCCATGCTAAAAGCTACTGCTAAAATTAAAAGTTAGCACTATTGGAGAAGTTGTCTTATAGCTAGTAACTAGCTCTATCCATTGTAGGTGCCCTAATACATGTCCCACTTTCACATCTCACAAACTTTTTTTGGAACTCGTGCATTAGTTAGTCTTAATGGAAGTTTCATCATAGCTTTATTTGCATTTAATAGGTTGTCACATAAGTATTTTTGATGAGGTGACAACATTTTTAAGAAGAGAGAGAAAAATGAGTTTCATGAGGATAAACCTCTCTTGGTTCGGTTACCCTGATGAGTCATAGAATCCAATGTCTATAAGATAAAAGAATGAAACTATAGATGGTTTCATCCATGTTTCATTGCATTCTATGTTTTTTGAAACAACATATGAAACTCGCCACTAACAATGGCCATTTATCCACTTCTCTTCTCTCTCCTTAGCATAAAGCTTATTTGCAAGCCTTTATTATATTTACTCTCTAAGAGTCTCAAATTTTAGTGTATAAACTATCTAATCCATTCAGTTGCTAACTTCTTGGCCATCCATGGTGTATAGTATATGCAATTAATCTTGAATTTAAGAAAGAGTTTTTGGAGAATAATACTACTCGGTGTTAGTGTGATGAATACTACTAGTATACATAAAAAAGAAAGTATTAGGGCCTGTTTGGATGACGCGGTTTTCAAAAACTGTAGTATCACAAAACTGTGGTTTTGTAAACTAAAGTGACACAAACCTGTGGTTTAGAAAAAAGAGGTCATAAGTGGAATTTCTAAAACTCCAAAAAGACTACAGTTTTGATAAAACCATAGTTTTAGAGAGTACAAGATTTGTTACATCCAAATACCCAGTAGCTTTTAAAAATCAAAGTATTTCTCCAATACTTTAAAAGTACTCCATCCATCCCAAATTATAAGTCATTCCAAGAATCTTAGAGAGTCAAAGCATCTTAAGTTTGATCAAATTTATATGATAAGATAATAACATTTATGATGCCAACTAAGTATTATTAGATTCTTTATCAATTATATTTTCACAGTATACCTATTTGATGTCATAAATCTTTATAATTTTCTCTATAATTTTGGTCAAACTTAAGATGCTTTGACTTTCCAAGATTTTTGGAATGACTTGTAATGTGGAATGGAGGTAGTACTTTGCATCAAAACCGGGCCTTAGTTGCAATTTCATCTAGTTCCATCTGTCACAGTTAAAAAAAATCTAGGCGCATCTATCTTGTTCGTGTGCCACTAGTATTGATCTTGATGACTCGTTCTAACGACTACATGGAGACATCAAGTTACCCTTACAGATGAGCAACAACTCCCTGAGCTCAAGGTGTCCATTTCAGGTCGAGTCCTGGCCTTAATTCCCCCCAGGAATCAGGATCATCTCCCCTGCTCACATTGGTGGGAAGCTCCTGGCCCCCGGCTACACACTGCACACCCCACTAGCCACCTTGGTGGCTGTGGCTCCATTGTGTCCCAGCAACCCGGGACCCGACCAAGTCTCTTCTCTTTTTTACAATAATGCCAATTAAAAGTCAATCCACTTTACTATGCACTCCCTCCGTCTTAAAGAAAATGCATGCCTCGTATTTTGAAGAGTCAAATAATTTTAAATTTAACAGACGCTATATAAAAAAGATAGGGACTTGTTAAAATTTAGGTGTCCGAATTTTATTTTTCTTTAAGGCGATGGTTATTACATATATTTTAAATTAAACTGCAGATTTCGTTCATTGCAATTTCTGTTGGCCTAATCTGCAATTTTGGTACCGAGAATAAAAATTCCGTTAGACAAAACCATAAATCCGACAAAATCTGGTTTGTATTGACACAAAGACAACTAACAATTTATAATTATTTCTATAGGCAGACAAGAACAAAAATTTAATATGTTATGACACAAAGACAAATAACAAATCACAAAATTAACAATTTACTTGTGCTTGTTGGTGGTACAAGAGTGGTACCTTAAATCATCTTAAAGTCCAGACACCCGAAATATACTTCATCCGTTCCAAATTATAAGATGTTTTGACATTTCTAGATTTATTCCTTTTACTATGAATCTAGACATAACATATATCCAGATGCGTAATAAAAGTTATGAATTTAGAAACGTCAAAACGTCTTATAATTTTGAATGGAGGGAGCAGGAGAAGTGAAAAAGATCATGTCGTTAAACTAATTATAAACTATCTTTAGAAACTTTGTTTTGACGGAGGTAAACTCTGCTTTTAATCATAATAATACACTGTGTTATAGGTTATATACTTGGAGATGCCCATGTGTGGCTCAAGAGGCATGTAAGACACAACATGATGTAATACTATTAGTATTAACCAACTAATCAGTTAATGTTCATCTTTACAATGTTTTCATGTACCTACCACTTTGATTGTTTGGTATATCCACGGATCCACCAACCAACAACAATACTTTGTACTTGGTAAAAAGTTGAGACCAAATACCAAAAAAAAAACAAATTAAAAAATGGCCCAAGTCAACCCCCCATTATCTGTGTTGACGACACATTTCTTTTTGGTGAGTCCACACCCAGCTCGCCTCGCCGTTGCGGTTGCGGCCGTCTGTCAGTGCACACACTCCACCACCGTGCTCGCCGCGCCGGGCATGTCGACGCAGCCGAGCATGGACCCGGCCATGTCGGCGGCGCCGCCGCCGCCGCCGCCGTCGAGCTGGATGCGCATGTCCTTCGCCTTGCTCATGTACAGCTGCTTGACGTTGCCGCCCTGGTTCTTGACGAGGCGCAGGATGCTGCGCTTGGCGTTGTCCCGGAACGGGCAATGCGAGCCGAGGAAGCCGTCGACGAGGTGGATGTACGCCTCCAGGTCGTGGCAGCACGCGGCGTCGGCGTCCGGCCGGAGGTACGGCGACGCGCGGCTGTCGAGGCGGAGCTCGCGGCCGACGTCCGCGTAGCCCGGGAGCGGGAGGCCCGGCGGGAACCGCGGCACGACGTCGTGCGCGTTCACGACGCGGAGCACGCGCGCGCCCCGCGCCTCCACGCGCGCCGCGAACGCGCGGTTGCCCACCCGCGGGCCACCGAAGGAGAACACCGCCACGGGCGCCCTCGCGCGGCCGGCGACGCCGCCGGCGAGCTCGTCCGCGATCAGCACCGCCAGCGCGGCGCCTAGGCTGTGCCCGGTCACCGTGATGCTCACCTCCTCGCCCTCGTACTTCTCCAGCAGCCTCCGCACCTCGGACACGACCATCTCCGACAAGCTCGGGGAGCGTTCGCCGGCGGTCTTGTAGAGGTTCCAGAAGCCGCATTCCACCTTGGCGTTGGACGTGTCCGGCGCAGCGGTGGAGTCATGGTGGGTGGCCGGGACGAGGCCGGCGCGCACGTTCTCGGCCCACTCGAGGACGGTGCAGGTACCACGGAGCGCGATGACGATGTCGCGGCGGCCCATCCGTCGAATCTCGGCGGGGCTGTCGCAGACCGCGACGTAGCCGACGAGGCTCGTCCGCTGCGCGGCGCACGGCGCGGCGGCGGCGAGCCAGGTGGGGAGGCCGACGGAGGAGGTGGCGAAGAGCGGCGCCGTGATGCGGTACGCCGCGTCCTGGAGCGGGACGCGCGCGCGGCGGCCCGGCTCGGCGTCCGGGCGGGACAGGAAGGCGCCGTAGGCGGCGTCGACGAACTCGCCGTAGCGCACGATCTCGCGGCGGAGGTCCGGGTGCAGCGGGTCCAGCAGGCCACGCCAGCCTTCCTCGCCGTGCAGGCGGCGCCACGCTGCCGCGATGTTCCCGCGCGGCGACGGGCCGTCGGGCGCCGCGGGCTGGAGCAGGCGCTCGAGCCGGCGCGGCGACAGCGCGGGCGCCGCCACGGCCGACGACGAGTCCTCGCCGCCCCTGGCCGCCCCGGTCCGCGTGAGGAACGACGGGAGCCGCAGCAGCGGCTGCTGCCTCCGCTGCTGCGTGGCGGCGACCACGGCCGGAGCCGCGCTCTCGACGGCGGCGGCGCCGCCGCCGCGGTTGCGGAAGAGCTTGTCGAGGCTGGCGAGGTGAGCGGCGTTGTTGCTCGGCGGAGCCGCGGCGGTGGCTACTCTGGCGCTCGCGGCGGCGGTCACCGCTGGGCGGTGCAGAGACAGTGACGGCGGCGACGGGGCGGTGGACATGCAAGGCAAAAGTGGGAGTGGTCGACGAGACGGCAATGGAAATGGAGCGGCATACAAGAAGAGAAGAGAAGTCGGCAACGGTTGCGGGAGGCCGGCAGAGCAGGTGACTGACTGATCGGATAGCTGCGACCTGGGTGGCAGGAGGAGGCGGCTCTTTAAGGCGCTCGGCTGATCGCGTCAACGGAGCACCTTCCTACCCGCTTCTTCTTCTTCGTCTCAGTCTCTTTAATTTTTCAGTCTCCTCTCCTCTTGCACGTCACAACTTTAAGGATGAAATCGTTGCACTGCACTGTAGTGCTTGCGCGCCAAGACAGCTCGCTATTTTTTGTTTCATCCTTCAATTTGTGACGTGACGGCTTACTTTTTTTTTTCTGTGACCAGCATTTAATTTTGACGTGGTTTATCATATCGGAAATGCAAAGTGCACATCCACACATATAAAGCATATATTTTAGGATACGACACCTGATTATAAAGCTAGAATTGTATTTTTTAGCATATAATTCTAAAATTGCATCCATTTTTAGGCAGAGGGAGTAAGTAATCCTGACTTTTTGTTGTCAACTCATTTTTTTTTTCTTATTCATAACTAGAGGTAAAAAGATTAGGCTTATGATGAATAAACTTACAAAAAAAAAAATGGGCCGTTTGGTGGCTGGGTATGTACGGACGGGATGCTGACGGCTGCCTGCTTCCTCCCAAGCTGACGCATATTTTTTTTATTGTTTATTATATGTTGTTTCGATAGATAACATAGCTGCCATCGCGTCAACGGTATGTAGAGTACTAGTTAATCTTAAATTATTAATTATTTTTTGGGGTTTTATTTTGAGTCCAGCAGCCACCGTTCCTACTTGCAAACTTATTGATGATCAGCAGCATATATGTATGCCCTTCTGTGTCTTATGTGTTTCTTTTTTTTTCCATTTTTCTTTCTTTCCTTGCGAGCAAGCTTCTTTGTGCCTTCAGTGATCAGCAGCCACACCTTGTTTAAGGTTGCTAAGAGTGGCATTATTTGTCCCCACAGTATGCATAAATACTTTGCCCAAGTACAGCTAGCTGACTATGAGTTCTATTAATTACTTCCTGTTCAGAAAAAAGGCAGCTGCTTGATTTTAAAATAATCTTGTTGGATTCATTAAATCTTATAATTAATAGGTCCATTTTTCTGCCACTTGACTCTTCTATTTTTTTTTCTAATTTTGTCCTTGAATTTGAATTATCATCGAAATGGTACCTCAACTATCGATACCGTTCGATTTTGACTCTAAAATCCATTTTCAGTGTGGTTTCCAAGTAACCTAGCTGTTTTCGTCTACGCTGGTGTTTTTCTCCTTATGGTCCGGCCTCTCTCTTCACATGGCCACTTTCTTTGAACGTATAATATAGGTCCATCTATATATATCCTAAGTCAAATATTTTTAACTCTGACCAACAGCTATATTCTCATTATATGAATTGTCAACACAAGATTGACATTAATAGACTTATTTAGAAAAAAAATGCATTTTCACAATATATCTCTCCTTTCTTTACAAATAATGTATTTTATAGATATATTGCTAGTCAAGGTTGTTAAATTAACTTGGAACAAAAAGCTTTGTGATCGAAGGAAGTACAGTACAGTGGTTGGCAAAAAAAAGCCAACTTGGAGGGAAAAAACGCTCTCACCACACGTAAGGAAAAACACCAACGATGCATAAAAGAAGAACTACTATTGTCCCAACAATATTCACAAATGTTTTGCCCAAATAGAGCTAGCTACTTGCTGACCCAAGTTTCAGTTAGTCTTCAGAAAAAGGCAGCTGCTTCATTCAAAAAAACTAGAAGAAAAAGAAAAGAAAAAGGTAGTGAGAGCTGATCGATTCGAAGGAAGAAGACGGCCGATTCAAAGCTTGTTTTTTAATTTCCTGCATCAACTAATTGATGAGCTAGTTGGACCAAACGACAACACTTACGTGATGTGCAGAAATAGTTTATTTTTTACTGATCATTCTCAGATCAAAAGGTGTCCGACATCACGAGACAACGCCAGAAGGTAGCAGCAGCTAACTTGGCTTGTAAGCCTGTTCAATTCTTCTTACCTCCTTTCTTATGTTTTCCCGGTACTTGTCGTCGTCAGAATTCTTTGCTTACACGTTCATGGCACCCTTTACTTTTCCAGCTAATAAAACGGTGCAACACCTCTAGGCCTTGTTTAGATTAGGTTTAGAAATCAGTATTTGGCACTGTAGCACATTCGTTTGTATTTGATAATTATTGTCCAATCATAGCCTAACTAGGCTCAAAAGATTCGTCTCGTAATTTACAATCAAACTGTGTAATTAGTTATTTTTTTATCTATATTTAATACTCCATGCATGTGTCCAAAGATTTAATGTGACGGAGAGAGATTGAAAAAACTTGCAATCTAAACAAGGCTCTATTTCAATTTTCAAAATATCTGTACATCTGGATTTTTATGAGTCAATTTCTTTTTTAAGTTTCACTAAATATAGAAAAATACTAATATATTTATGAAGAATATATATTTATAATAAACATATTAGGAAATAATATTTTCAAAAAATCTAAAGAAGCTTGAAAAAGTTTAACTTCTCGAAAAACAAGCCACATAGTTAATTCAGGATGGAGGAAGTATGACAGCTAGCTAGTTTCTTATTTTTAAAAAATAATTTTTTGATAAATACAGAAAGAAGAATTCAGTTTGTATTATATTGTAAATATTACCAATCTAAATATATGTTAATTTTTTTAGAAAATTAATAACTAGTTTATGCATATATATCTAAAAAATGTTCCTGCAAAAATATTCGAAACCTACAGAGATAAGTTCTCTGGTTTAGATACAATTAGGTCTCTTTTGGCAGGGCTTCACTTCACTAGTGAAGCCATTTTCTTTGACTTTAGCTCCACGAACTTAACAACTCTTCCGGTGGAGCTAAAGCCGTTTTTGTACCCCGTTTGGTAAAACAGCTCCTTATGGTACACAAAAGAGATGAAAAAACCATAACACCCTTCTCTTTTTTTCTTTTCTTTTTTCTCCTCTCCTGTTTTCTTCTTCTTCTGTTTGGCTTTTGCGCACACATACCCTAGCCTCGGCGGCATGTACTAGTGCCATGCGCCACGCTCCTCGTGTCCCGGCGGCCCATGTGCCCACCCCGGTGGCTAGGGGCAAACATGGATTTCATCCACGCTGGGTGTACATGGGCGAAGTAAAGCCAGTTGAAGCCACTTTTTTTTTTGCTCCATCTCACCCCAAACCTCTATGAGAGCAGGTTTTAAGGGCTTCACCAGTGAAGCCATTTCATTTTACCTCATTTAGTAGAAAATGGCTCCAAACTGCTCCGTCCTAAAGCCGTTGCAGAAGCCCTCCTAAATGGGGCCTTACTAGCTAGCACTAAGGTATTATTACCTCATCGTGAGATTTACTTGAATAGGTAAACTAAACTAAAGGGGGAAATAGTACGGCCTTTGATCTTAAATGGTTTTTCAGTAGGATAAGACCAACCTTCTCTACATACGTATTGAAGGATTATGGCCAATTGAGTAATCCAACTTCCAATCGATCTTTTTTACATCTATTACCCCGCTTTTTGCTCTAATATATTCCAACCCCCATGTTGTGGTCCATTGCTTGATCCAATGACTAAGGATGACGTCCTAGGTAGGCTTGCTGGCCGACCTAGGGCAACTCGGCGATGCCCTGTAACACCCAAAAAATTGCATTCTTTTAAAATACTAAATTTGAGTTATTTATGTAATTATCTATGCATTTCAAATTTAGGAAATAATATTTTTTATGAAATTAAAAGTAAATATAAGGACAGAAATATGTTGATGCATTCATGGTGCTGCACATTTATTTTTATAATGATTAGCTTTGACTAAAATTTGAATTGAATTCTAATTCAACTTAAAAATGAGTTTGGAAAATTTATTTTGAAAAAGAAAAGGAATTCTTTTCCCTCCCCTTCTTTTCTTCACTTTCGTCCTAGCTCCATTTTTCTCAACCGCCGGCCTGCTCTCTCTTTTCTCCCTCCGCGCTAGCCCGCCAGCCCAGCTCGGCCGCAACTGCCTCGGCCTGCTCGGCCCAGCAAGCGCGCGGCCCAACACCGCGCCAGCAACCGCTGCCGCCTTTTCTTTCGCTGCCTAGCCAGGCCCACCTATTGGCGCCGTCCTCCTCCTCCCGCGCGTCCGCGCCGGTCAAGGCGGAACTGCCTCCGCGCCCACATTCCGTGCCGTCGTGGGAGCGTCCTGTGCGCCCCTCCCTCTACAAAAAGGAAGCCCCGGCCGAGCCATTTCCCCCTGCTGTTTCCCCGTTCCCTTTCCGCACTCGCTCGAGCCGAGGAAGTCACAACCGCGTGGCACCAGAGAAGCGCCGGGATCCGCCGTCCGCCCCTCTGCGCGAACAGCCGTCCCCGAGCCGCCTCCGCCTCCATTTTTCCCTGCGGTGAGAACCCCTTCCTCCCCTCTTTCTCCTCGTGCGGTTATTGGCGAATTTCATGGCCCGTAGACCTCGTTTCGCGTGCGGCCGTGAGCTCCATGCCGCCGGCCATGGCGACTGCCGCCTCGGCCGCGTCCTCCGGTGGCTGTATCGACCTGTCCGAGGTCCCCTTCACCCCCTCGCTCTCCCGGTGTCCTCGATTCTTCGAACCGTGGCCCGTAGCACTGTATCGTGCTTGCCGGTGTGTTCTTTGCCGCCGTCCATGGCAGCGCCGCTGCCGGAGATACTGTTCCGGTCGGGTCCTTTCTCCTTCTCTCTCCCCAGATCTAATCCGAGCCACCTATCCTTGATCCAACGGCCACTGAAGGCCGATACCCCTTCGCGGGTAACTTTGCTAAAGAGACCCCCAGATTTTGACAAATAGAACCAGCCGTCCTTAGCACGTTTCCTGAGTACGCTTTCTCCTTTTGAAAACGTAAAGTAAACTGTTTTAGTCCAAAATACGTTTTTAGTATTTACAGAAATGCCACTGGATTTGTTTTGCTCATAAAAA